CGATTTATCAATAAAATTCAACTTTTATGAATTTGTACATCATAACGTTTATGTGGCTTAATTGTGTGAGCACAAGTGTATATACATACATATATGTAGATATAAACGATAACCATGACGAACCGAGTTGAATTAGACATTCCCGTCTCTCCGGCTCTCTATATACGCGAACTAGTACTCAGTTTTTAAGATATCGATCCAATTTTTTTTCTTTTCTCAATAAGAAGGTGCTTATCTGTCGAAACCGCTAATATCGGCCAATTTTAATATAATATATGGCTGCCAATCAACTGACCGATAAAATTAAAATTCTTGTATATAAAGCTCTTTTATTTATAAAGAGGTCTTCATAAAATTTGTCGTACATTATTATCCAAGGCATCGCTGCAATCTCCGAATATATTATTTACATCGGACCACTAAAGCTTATAGCTGCCATTTAAACTGACCGATGAAAATCAAAAGATCGTCAATCTTTATAGTTTGCGTTTTTTCTTGATTGTCCATCTGTCGAATACTGTCTATCTTTGCAAACATACGCGTATAAGCATATGTACTACTTTTGTATTTACGCGAAATCGCAAAGATAAATTTGCACTTGTACTATATATTTGTAAATTAGAACGAAAACGGCAAGAATAATGAGCACAACAACAACACCCAGTCAAACTCTTATCCTTGCTATTTCTTTGAGGGGAAGACAAAAAGCTAAATCATATTTTGACGGTGATGTTAAAGCCAAATGTGGCAAAAGCGAAAGCAGTTTGATAAAAACTAAAACATCATAAAAATTTCATATTTGTGTTTAACCTTTGCTATAAAAATTCTATATGTCATAAACCCTTATGATACCCATGAACCCTTATTATAGTAGGGGCCCAAGAGGGGATTTTCAAAGTTACTAAAGCGTGTCAGAAATTGTATGGGGAAAAACATTGCACCTTTTTATTTACCCCTACCAAATATGAGCCCTTAATATGGGTGCGTTGGGGGAGTTCGTCAGATGAGAGAAAAAAAATCGATCCTTCGGGAAACTCGAGCGCGTCAGATTAAGAGATGGTAAATTAAATACATGAAGACGAGTGTATATTTCAATATTGTGACAGTTTGAGGGTGACTTAGAGAAATAGCGGGGTGATGAATTTGTAAAAAAAAAAAATACGTCACCTTAAAATACTCGAGCGCGATATCCTTTTTTTTAATTTTAAAGGTAATTCTATCAGAATCATAACAGTATCATCTGAAAGTTTCCATGGGACGATACAGGTAAAATCGTCGACAAAAGGTCAAGCGTACTGATGCTGAAAGGTGTAAATGGAGGTGTGTAGTAGACGCTTGACACTTTTGTTCGTTTCTCACTCTCTCCCACCGTCCTCATCCTAGTGTCTGCCGCCATGATGCCATCTCAGCTGATCAGCATAGCGTGGTTGTTGTTAGTAGACGCTTGACACTTTTGTTTGTTTATGGTGTTTTCAATTTTTTTCCATTTACAGAGAGAATGATATGCATATATTTTTCGCATCAGCATTTTCTTCTACAGACATTGTAACGTAAATTAGGCAAACATAATTTTAACAAATAATAACGTGAGAATAATAAGCGCATAATAGTAAGGGAGCCTGGAGTACTAAATTTGCAGTTACTGGAGCGTCATGGAGACTTACTAGATTGTCAAGATAATGTTTAAAATAAAAAGTCTTGGTCAAGTTTTCCATTTTAGTGGGGGGAAGAGCGGGTGATTATTTCCAAAAATGTAAAAAAAACAGTCACTTAAAAATACTCAAACGCGTCAGTCAATTATGGTATATACGCGCATTGTATTTCTGATAGTATTTTGAATTTTCGCGCGTTACATATATTCGAATTTCGAATTTTTTGTGGCGTTATGTTGGTACTCATGTCTCTCACTTATGCCGACAAGCTCGGCCATTTTGAATGTTCATTTAATTGTTGACAGCTGCTTTGCTTGCACGTGTTTTGGATCGTCTCCGATTTTTACCTATTCAAAAAAATGGATCAAAGAACCTGTATCAAATTTTGTGTAAAAAACGAAATTAAGTGCGCAGATGCACTCCGAATGTTGACTGTGGCATACGGAGAAGCTACCTTGGACCGAAGCAACGTTTATCGGTTTTACAAAATGTTCTCAGAAGGCCGAGAATATGTGACAAAAATTGGCTTTAGCACCACGATAATGCCTCTGCTTACACATCGTTGCTTGTGCCCGACTTTTTGGCCAAAACGACACACTAATGATGCCGCAGCCACAGTATTCCCCAGATCTGGCCCCTGTAACTTTTTCTTGTTCCCTAAACTGAAGAGGCACATGAAAGGACGACGTTACGCTTCTCTTGACGAGATAAAGACGGCATCGAAGGA